GGAATGGTAATCAATTTAACTACRATTATTTAAGATGYTTAGRAATGGTATAAATTATCATGTAGGTTGCCGTTTTTGAGAGAAAGACCTATCGAACGTTAACGATTCAAGTTGAGTACATTATGCGATTTTTATGGGATATATACATGATTATTACAAAAATATTTTATCCATGATATTTGCATGATGTGTTTATATGCATATGATGATAACTTGATTATATTGNTATGGTGACAAATTAAATAAATAATTATAAGTATTAAAAATATTTCATATGTACTTATGATATTAAATAATATGATTAAATTCAAAAGTATTTAATACTGAGTTTATTTTAAAAAAATTGACAAGATGATTTTGATACTATAATTTAAGATAAAAACGTACCTTAAAATATCATGGAACTGAGCGACTTCTTTGTGGTCTACATTTGCCCACATTAATGCTTCAATAATGCCATGACTTTTGCGGCTTTGAGTTGTTATTACAGTATTTTGAAAAATCATAATTATAATCAGATGATAAAATCAAATAAGCAATTGTTTTGAAAATATCTCTTCCTTCCAACATGAACGGCTTTTATATGGTTTTATAAAATTTAAATATATTAATTATGAAAAATCAATTTATTAAAATTAAAATTGGATTTTCACGAATATTATATACAAAACGTCTATAATTTCCATGATTTATACATGTTTAAATAGAGATTTGAAATCAATCTCGAAAACAACCTCCAGCTATCAAGTCAATTTGAATAGGTTGTTGTAAACTCAGATACGTTTGATTTGAAAGAATGGAATGAATTTGGAGGGATTTTGATTTTAGATATATTTTAATTCATGTTTGGTTTTCAGAATTGTTCAGATTTGAAATTCTTTGATTTATTTAAAAACCATAAGATTTTGAAATCCCACGGGGTGGTTGGGATTTTATGAGATTTCGTAGGATTTTCATATAATAATGTTTTAAAATATGTTTAAAACACTTGTTTTCTAACAATTCATTAATAAGAAGATAATTTCATTATTTTTATAATTATTTATAATCTTTTTTTATAAATTATTTATAAAAAGTGGAATTCCATTTCATTCCAAATCCATCAAAACAAACATACCAACGATTCCAAATTCTTACAAATATAAATCCTTCCACAAAATTCAAATCTCTCAAAACTATTTCATCAAAGTTTCAAACCAAACGATCCCTTAGGGAAATTGAGAGAAATAATCATTTCTCTTTTCATGAATTGGTCTCTTAGTCATTCCTTTTTTTCAATTTACCTAATAAATATCACTACCTCCGCCGGTGGCATCTCCCTCACTTGTGCACCTAGCTAAAGAGAAAAAAAAATCAGATTCAACTCAATTCTGCAATTGCGACGGCTAGGTCCGGAATTACGACGTTACCACTTGCTAACCTGGTTGAATTTCAAATTCTTTTGTCTTTTAGCTAGGCCCGCAAGTGGGAGGTGCTATTTGCAGAGGTTGTTATATTTGGGTAAATGAATGAGAGAAATGACGATGAGACCAATTTATGAGAGATGAATGGCTATTTTGGCCAATTTTCTATAAACTTAAAGATAAGTCAGAGGTGATTTCTGTAACAACCCAAAATTCTATAACAACCGAATTTAATAAACAAAAGCCAAATCGGCAATATCCATTGTCAAAGTATAAGGTCATCCCAAAACACATCTCAATAGTAAACAACGAAATTACATAAATAACCACAACTGAGAATTATTATAAAACTAAGAACAAGAAAACTAAGCTGACAACCGCCTCTTCTAAACTCACATCTTTCCCTTCCCTTTTAATCCACTTTCTACCTGGTACCTGCCTGAAAATGATTTTATTTGAAAAGCGAGGGTTAGACCGAAAGGTATAGTGAATTCCCTTAAAACAGCTCAACACCTTTTGGAACACATTGAAACGACACGGATATTGCACATCGATTGTAGCAACCCCGTCACTTTCCCTTCGTGACAATAATAACGATCAGGCCCTTAAGAGGATCCTATCCAACATGCTTAAGAAACAGATTGAAGGCACGCGGATTATAACTCCCAAGAGGTATTACTAACTCAAGGTACCCTACGCCTGTCGTGCAACTCCACACACCTCACATAGATCATATAAAGCCAATTTCAATAGTAATGAAATAAGTTAAGTTGTTGTTTATGAAATCATCAACGTCTAAACCATAATCAGTACTCAAAGCTTTTAGAAACAATCTTGAGTTATAAACATCAGTGTAAGAAAACTCACGTGATGTTTCGTGCTCCACCCCAAGCCTAAAAGCTAAAAAAACCAGATCGAACGCCTGAATTAACCAGGTTAATAAGGGTGTTAATTCAACTTAAATATCCCAAAAAGTATTCGATTAAAAAATTGCATCTCAAAATGTAACATCCCGTCCCACATCGGTTGGTGAGGAGAACTAAGCACTCCTTATAAGGGTGTGGATACCTCATCCTAGCATGACCGGTTTTGGGGCTTGCGTTGTGCGGCTGCCAGAAACAAAATCGTGCGACTACTGCTTTGTGGTTGAGCGGGCAGGTTAGTCAAAGCGAACAATATCATTGCTACGGGGTTCTGGGGGCGTTACAAATGGTATCAAAGCCAGACCCGGATCGATGTGGCCCAACGAGGACGTTGTGTCCTAACGGGGGGAGGGTGTAACATCCCGTCCCACATCGGTTGGTGAGGAGAACTAAGCACTCCTTATAAGGGTGTGGATACCTCATCCTAGCATGACCGGTTTTGGGGCTTGCGTTGTGCGGCTGCCAGAAACAAAATCGTGCGACTACTGCTTTGTGGTTGAGCGGGCAGGTTAGTCAAAGCGGACAATATCATTGCTACGGGGTTCTGGGGGCGTTACACAAAACGAGACGGACGGAAGGGCATAGAAACAGGCCCTCACGCGACCTACACCGCGACCAAGGCGGCATGCCAGGTCACGCGGCTCACTGTTCGAGTTGTATTCCCATTTTTGTGCAGGTCTGATCTTCACACCCCAAAACCTCCAAATTCTCTATTGTTTTGCGATTTCTAACTCAATAATTCAACTATAACAAGGGAACCTTCCCATATCATTTCTAAACCAAAATCAACCAACTTATTGGAACCCATCAAATATTGTCTCAACCATGAATTCATCATCCATGGGGTTTCCACCATTGAAATCAAATTACCAAGGAGAAAACCCTCAAAAGCAAATACATTGTTGGATTTAATACACAAATTCGTGATGAATCCCCCCATGGATCATGAACTCTTACAACCAAATGATCTATACTCAAAGAAAATATAGAAGCCCTAAATTTTCCCAAATCAACAACAAATCTCCATTAACGGAGACTCTAGACTAGAAGGATGGTGGTCTTACCTGAAGGAGATGTTTCTTCCATTTGATTCTTCTTTAATCAATCAAGAGCTTCCACCTAGGGGTGTACGCGGGTTAGGTTGGGTGATTTTTAACATTTTTACAACTCATCCCAATTATGACGGTTTGGAAAATCTTAACCCAACCAAACATATTCAAAAGTATAACTCAACTCAACCCTTGCGGGTTTGGGCGGGTTGGGTTGGTGGTTTGGTATTTTTCTGCCATTTGTTGACTTCATTAATCTTACATTGAAGGTAGGAACAAATAACCACAAAATAGGCAGCAAATATAAATAAACCAACATGTTAATAATTGTTTGTTGTGAGGAAGGAGGCGTGTATCTGTGATAGAGAAGGCAAACGTACGGGTTAAGGGTTACTAGAAAAAGGGTTAAAAGGTAAATTGTTAATAAGTTGAATTTGATAAGTTAGGGAGGATTGACTTATCAAAAATTGCTTACTAGCGGGTTTATACCGGTGTATGCAATTTTTTTTCTTCTCATCCAAACACTCAAAATGACTTATTATAGGTATCACGCCAGAATAGGTCAATAAGGAGGTTTTATAAGCAATCCCAAACACCCCCTTATTTGTTGGGTTGTACAGTAGACTAAAAAATATACATATTTTTGGGATGTAAATTATAATTTTGTAAATATCATATATATATATATATATATATATATATATACACACACACATACATACATACATACATATATAGAGAAGCGTTCAAATAAAAACCACTCAATTTGTACAAACCGTGAAAACCTTATTCAATCAATCATAAATTTTCATTTTGTTCATTTTTTTGTAATTATGAGAGGTTGATTAACCATTTTTATTGTGGAATGTGTTAATCATAGATATTATCATCTTCATTATTTTAATTTTAGAGAAATACATTAAAAAGTTTCATTAAAATTTCATTAAATATTATATGAAACMATTTCATAACCATATATGAAACAACTTCATCAAAAAAAAAAAGAATTATATGAAACAATTTCACAAGATTAAACAATTTCATGAAGAAAAAAAAATTCATAAGATTAAACAATGAAATCGACGTATGAGGGTGGTTTGTACGGTTTGTACAAATGAGGGTGGTTTTCATTTGATCGCTCCTCTACATAGACATACATAATTTTATAAAAAATAATATATATTAGCGGCGGGTTGGGTTGGGTTGGATTGAGTCATGCTAACCCAATTTCAACTCTCCTAGTTAGCGGTCTGGCGGTTTGACGGGTTGGGTTTAATTAAGTTGTTAATGGGTTGGGTTGAACGAATTTCACATATTAACGGTTTTTTGTACACCCCTACTTCCATCTTTCTTCTTCTTTACTAATTCCTCCCAAAAGACACTACACCATGAGTCTATGATATACAAAATGGGTGAAATGAAAGTGTTCCTTCTCATTTAACCCTTGGTCCCTGAAGGTTAAGAAGGAATACAAATTTCACTGTGAACTCAATAAAACAACAAAATTGAGGTTATGGGTTATTACAATTTCATATCAAATCATGTAAATATTGTGTTCAAAGATTCTATCTTATATAAATATACTGTTATGTATACTTGATTCTTAATTTTTATACATACGAATAAGACTTGCATACAAACTGATAACAGTTTTATTTTTATACATAGTACAAGTCACTGTAACATTATTCTTCTGGTTGTACAAGTCAAACTTTGACCGGGATCGCCATGAGAGGCAAATTCTTTTGTAATGTCATCCCAAACTTATCACTCATATCCATCATCCCTCCTTTAATCTTCCAATCAAACTTGTAAATCAAAGATCCCAACATCAAATGCAGCATTCTATCTGCAAGAGGCAATCCTGGACACATTCTCCTCCCAGTACCAAATGGTATCAATTCGAAATCATGACCCTTGTAGTCGATTCCAACATCAAGAAACCGCTCCGGCTCAAACCGTTGTGCATTCGGCCATACGTTCGAGTCTTGACCCATTGCCCACAAGTTACAGAGGATCTGTGCGTCTTTTGGGACAATGTAGCCTTGGACCTCGACATTGGTTGTTGCCTTATGAGGGAGCAAAAAGGTCACCGGAGGGTGCAGTCGGAGAGTTTCTTTCACAACGGCTTGTAAGTATGGGAGCCTAGCGATGTCGGATTCTTCAAAGGTTCGGTCTTCCTTTCTGATTACTTCCTCAAGCTCGGATCGGGCTTTCGACATTTTCTCGGGGTTATTGATTAGTTCCGCCATCGCCCATTCCAACGTGCTTGATGTCGTCTCGGTTCCTGCAATAAAAAGGTCCTGCACACAAACCATTTGATTTATGGGGTGTTTGGGATTGCTTATTTAAAACAATTTATGTTTTTTTGTTAAAGTGCTTATTATCTTATGCGGTATCAAACCGGAGTTTTGTAAAAAGTGTTTGGATTAGCTTATAGTGGTACCAAACTGCAATAAGCTTGTTTTTTAGTGTTTGGCAAATTATGCTTATATCTGTAAAATGACCAAAAAGGACAGTCTTCTATATTATTGACTTATAGGAACGTTTGGGATTGCTTATTAACTTATTTGATTTTTTAACATATAAAAATTATTTTTCATCATTTATAATAATATCTATTCTCATAACATATATATAATGCTTTTTCTAATTGGAAATTGGTCGTTCTTCTGCAGAAATTAAGAAAGCATAGTCATATTATTTCACAAAAAACTGATGTCTTTTTGTTATAAACCTGCAGTTTGCCTACAACGAACTGATAGGAGAGGAAGAAGATAAGAACCCATTTTGTTGCAGAAGTAAACCTATAAAATGCTGGAGGCATAACTTAACGAGGGTGGATATTGAAAGCAGTGACGACGTCTGTCCCAATAATGGAGTCGAATTGCAGAAATATTTTCGTACAAACACGATGATGTTAGATACGATTTGTTTCAGCAAAGGTCAATTTGTATCTGTTGTGGAATCTCTGTTCGTATTGGGTTATCGATCTCTAGGGTTAGGGTATCGATTTGTTCATCGTATAGGGTAGACGATGATGTATATATGGAGGAGAAAAGATATCGAGAGGAGAAGAGGCGATGATGATGGGAGAAGAGATATCGATTTGGAGAAGAGGTGAAGAGATGGAGAAGACATATCTATGGAGAAGAGGTGAAGAGATGGAGAATGTATCTGTTAATGGGAGAAAGAGATATCAATGATTATTAGGATAGGTGTTAGACAGGGTTAAAATGGTAAATCGGTAATAAGTCGATTTTCATAAGTCACTACAGATTAACTTATCAAAAACTGCTTATTACCGGTTTGGCACCGGTATAAGCAGTTTTTTTTTTACCCAAACACTAAAAAACTGCTTATCTCCGTTATCAGATTGAAATAAGTTAATAAGTCGTTTTGATAAGCAATCCCAAACACCCCCAGGTCTCAAATCCCTTGTCCCCTCTCCGTCCAAACCACATCACTCATCTAATGAGAAAAAGAATTAAAAAATAGGACAAAATCCGCAAAATATCAACCTACTTTTATAAAATGTTTTATTATATCATTCTACTTTCAGTTTTTCTTATTACAGCAATGTACTTTCAAAATATTTTTTATTAGGGCATTGTACTTTTAAAAATTTACCCGTTATAGCATTAGGTAACATTTTAAATTAAATTTACTCATTATACCAGATTTATTTGTCACCTCATTGTCCACATAGGCTCTCCACATGTACGATAGTGCTGACATGACATTTCTTATTATAGCATTATACTTTCAAATTATTTTATTATAACATCACTAATTTCTCTTACAACATTGTGCTTTTGATTGTAATATTTTTTTCATTTAAACATTATAAATTTAATCAAATATATTTACTAAAAATTGTAATATTAAGTTGTATTGGTGATACTTATATGTGTTAGCTATTTTGATTTGTGTGCAGAGTTTTAAGAGAAGGTGTTTTTTTATTTTAAAAATATAATATTTAATTTAACAAACAACTTACATAATGGTAAAAAAAAAGTTAAATTTCATGTACTATTTGATATATTATTGCAGATATGTTAATGTTAAAAAAAGGGCAAATTGCATGAAAAAGTAACGTACTTTAACTTGATTCCTATTTTGGGTAATGTACTTTCAAAACTTCCATTTTGGTACCTAAGATGTAAAATTTTAAACATTTAAGTACCCGGGTAACYCARTGAAGACTAATTTTAGACTAAAAAAAAGACTAATTTTAGATTAAAAAAAATCCACGTCACTGACTAGGTCAACAAATAATACCGAGTTGGATACCACATCACTCGCCACATCAGTATGATAACCGGTTAATACTTCAWTCAGTTACCCGGGTACTTAAATGTTTAAAACTTTACATCTTAGGTACCAAAATGGAAGTTTTGAAAGTACATTACCCAAAATAGGAATTAAGTTAAAGTACGTTGTTTTTTCATGCAATTTGCCCTTAAAAAAATATCGATTTGGGTGTCTTTTTGCCTTCTATAATATGTCAAAAAAACAAAACAAAACGATATTATAATCTCAAATAATATTTTATTATAATTTTTAGTAAACATATTTGATTAAATTTACAATGTTTAAATGATAAAAATATTAAAATTAAAAGTGCAATGTTATAATAGAAATTCGTGATGTTATAATAAAGTAATTTTGAAAGTACAATCTTATAATAAGAAATGTAATGTCACCACTATCGTACATGTTTACATGAACGATGAAGTGATAAAAAAAACATGATATAATGAGTAAATTTAATTTAGGTATCCATTGGTGGAATCATTAGAAAACTACAGATTTGCGGATAGCTGTTCTTTATTCTTCATTCGTTGCATGAGTACATGAAGTCTCATAGAATAGATCGAGCTGAATAAAGATTACTTACGAACACCAAGTATCGAATGCCGACGAGGTTAATCGACGATTTCTCGTTTTGGCTCATATCTAACAGCAAATCCATAAGATCTTTGCTTGATGAAGCATCAGATGAACTTGTAGCAGTTCTTTCTTGCAACCGTTTACTGATATATTCTTCAACAATTGCCAATAGCTTCCCAGTATAAAGCTTCGCTTTTCGGAGCAATCCGTGCGGATCCAACGGACGAAGAACGGGAAAGAAATCGGCCAAATTTGGTCTTCCAGCATTTTCGAATAACAGCCATACGAGATCCATAAAATCTTGAGAAGACTGGGAATCATACTGCGCTAAATCAACGGAAAAGACGAAGTTGGAAAGAACGTTAAGAGTCGTTATGGATGCGATATGACCTATATCTACCGGTTTGCCGCTGTCTGAATAGTCGTGAACATAATCAAGAAGTTGCTGCACCTTTTTCTTGCGTAGGAGGTGGCTAGCATCGAGTTGTCGTGCAGCAAACAAGTGTTCTTTGTATATTTTTCGTAACATTCGCCAATGATCCCCAACCTGCGACCAACCCATGGCGTGTTTATAGTGGTCGTGAGCGGTGGCAACATATGGGACCGATCTGCCAGAGAAAGAGACGTCATGTTTCGAAAAGAATTCTTTCACGATTTCACGAGATGAAACGACGATCGTGGTGGTGGTGCCAAGTTTAAGAGACATTAAAGGTCCGTAAGTTTTGGAGAGGGCGGCAAGGGAGTGATGCGGTTTGTTTCCGAGTTTAAAGATGTTTCCGATGATCGGAAACGGGTATGGGCCGGGCGGCAGTCGGGTATCGCGGCCAGATCGGGAAATAAGAACATAGAAACATGTGGAAATGGAGAGAAGTATGAAGATCATTGTGTAATCCATCTGTTTTTCCTGCTTAATCCTAATTGCTTGTGGTGTTCAATTTGTAGTGGTGGTTCTCATAGAAGACAAAGATGGATGACATTGACAGCAGGGGTGCATCTACTCCATGCTGTAAGGGTTATCAGGAGTGCTAAAAATCCGACCAACCCAATCCAACATGAAATAATTCAAACCAAAACAACCCGATGTTTAATCAAGTTGTAAAATTGTCAAACCGTAGGTATTGGGTTGATATTAGGTTACTATTATTTGAACCCAACTCAACCCGATGAACCCGATATTCTTTTATTTCTTGGATTTAATATGATTGTTGAAAATCTATTAATATATACATTAGACAATTACACTATTATGTATTATCTTCATATACACATATTTTCAATCTATTCACATCTCTATATAATTCATTCGTATATATGTTGAGTAACTGTGAACATATATATGTAAATTGTGAAAATTAATTAAATATGATATACGTAAGAAGTATGTATAAGTTGTATCAAATGGTTGATGATGAAAAAGAAATTATGAGTATAGAAATATCATATTCAAGATGAAAAAAAATATTTTAATGTACCAAAGTATCAACCCGACCAACCCGTACGGGTTGGGATGCACTTTGATTTGGGTTGAGTTGGGTTGGGTTAAGATTTTTTCAAACCGCAAGCATTGAGTTGCGTTGTTCAAATGTCTTCAACCCAACCCATGAGCACCCCTAGTTACTAGTTCCCCAACAAACCCATCAATTTTTTAAAAAAAAAATTATAACAAGATTTGTTTAGTAAATTTTCCTATTGTACGTCCAACAAGAACAAGGCAAGGGCCCTCAACAAAAACAAGGCAAAGGCTTGCAACTTGATATTCTGAATGTTAATTGGTCCATTTGCAACATACACTGATATTATCATTCAAAATATAAAAATTATACACCTCGATGAATTAGTAGAAATGAACTGAAAATCGACTTGAATAAGTTATCTTTGTTCGGTTAACTGAACCGTTTAATCCAAAAAAGAAAACCCAAAACCGTTTTCATCCGGATGAATTAATTGGTTTTGAATTTTTTTTTCTACATCCCTAAGTGTGTCCTCAACTATAAAAATTTCTAGATCCAGCACTAGATGACAACTTAAAGCCTTTGGATAACAAACAATGTCGCAAAAGGATAAAGGTCTGGGAAATTACCCAATTCTTTTTTAAAATACAAATATGAAAATAGTAAAATATTAAATAAATATATACCTTCTTTCAGAAATATCATAGGCATGCAAGAGTAAAATAAGAAGAAAAAAAAAGACTTTAAATATGTGATAACCGATTATCCGGTTATAAAGTTGAGGGTTGTTTATAATTGATGGTGATAAGTTGAAGGGCTAAATGTGTATGTGTGCTTAAATTGTTTTTAAAAGCTTCCACCCCCTCATTCTTTAATTGTTGATAATCTTATTATCTCAAATGGTGGTTAAGAATAAAAAGCAATAAGCTTTTTGTGTGTGTTTTTCTTGTGTGAAGAAAGGAAGAAATAGAAGTTGATTTTATGTTCATTAATTGTTGTTGTTCATCTTTATATCAATATCTATGTGTAATTCATAAGGTGAGTTTATTTTTACAACTTTCATTTTATTTTGTTGGGTTAGAACAGTATGGTTTTTTTATATAGGAATGATTATAAAACTGTTTTGATGCTATAATTAGTATAGATTGGTATTTTCATATGAGTATATAATGTGATTAGAATAAGAGTGACATGTGAATGAGATGTGTGTTTTGGTTATAAGGGTTACATATCAATAAGAGGTGTGTTTTGGGATAAATGTGACATATCAAGGAGAGGTGTATACCAAGATAAGGGTGACATAATCAACAGAATGTAAAATCTGGGTTTTTGATCAAATTGTTAGTTGTTGTTGCATCTTTATGATGCAATGACTTTGAATTATCGCATTTGTATGATGCATCGACTTAAATCCGATCCTACATTTAAATATTGCATAAACCCAAATCTTGGTCCCAAAAATGTCCTAATTGGACCTAGCATATCCTAAAACGAGACATGCAACCACTTTTCAAAAAGACTTTGCTATAACATCTTTGGTTCAAGTCTTGTGTCTCATGCCATGTTAAGACTGAGGCATGTCATGACGTAATGAACGATTTTTGTAACACAATATCTGATTTTGATTATCTTTTTTTTGTTAGTTTTTAATATATAACTTAATTTAAATTGTTTATTATCATTGATTTATTGAGTTATAATAAATATTTTATATATATATGTTTATGTATATAGGTTTAGGTTCCAGTGAGAATAAGAGTTAATGTGATAAGCATAGAAGGAATCTCCATTCTTGTATGCACATTAGGATGAGATACACCAGATGAATCACATTATCAAGCGTGATTCATGGATAAGCTTAAGATTGAAGGTGATCAAGGGCCCATATCTCTTCTTACAATTCTCACATTAACTCTCTTTCTAACACGATCCTTTACATTGGTGTATATACTCATAAAATTAATATATGTATTGGTGTATATACTCATAAATATATAGAGAGAGAGTACGTTTGCGCGCTTGGTTCAAATATTAACCAAAATTATTGTATTAAAAGACAAGTCTTCGAGGCTTAGAACCGTTATTTTCGCCATCATTTTTCATAATCCTAACACAAAACATTTGTACGCATGTTTATATATCCTGATGAGTTGGGTATCCGATAGTATCAGATTTTGATCGGATTGGCCACGAGAGGAACGCTCTTGTGTAACGTTATTCCAAATCTCTCGCTCATATCCATATCTTCGGGCTCGAGTTTCCAATCGAATTTGCGAATCAGGGAGCCGAGCATCAGATGCAACATTCTATGCGCAAGAGGCAATCCAGGACAAATTCTCCGCCCAGAACCAAACGGAATGAGCTCGAAGTCTCGGCCTTTGTAGTCGATATTGACATCTAAGAACCTCTCTGGCATGAACTCATGAGGGTCGGACCATATCGACGGATCTCGACCAATAGCCCACACGTTACATAGGATTTGTGCATCTTTAGGCACAACAAACCCTTGGATTTCTACGTCGCACAAGGCTTTGTGCGGGAGTAGAAATGGGACCGGAGGGTGTAGCCGAAGGGTTTCTTTAACGACCGCTTCTAGGTATGGGAGCTTACAGATGTCTGATTCCTCGATAATGATGTTGGCGTTCCCGGTGATTTCCTCAAGCTCAGACCGAGCTTTCGCCATCTTTTCCGGGTTGTGTATTAACTCGGCCATCGCCCATTCCAACGTGCTTGTTGTTGTATCGGTTGCCGCAGCAAATAGATCCTACACAAGATATTGTAAAATGAATTCATGTCAGATACGGACCATCAAACCTCTATATAAATGACTTTTTAAGAGAGATTCAAAAAGGTTCCACATATGCTAACGGATGCATCATGGTAAAAAAAAAGTTAAATTACGAAAAGAAAGTGAAGTATGTCGTTTCGGCTAAACTCGGATTCATTTTTCGCACTGAGGTCCAGCAGCAAATCTAAAACGTCGTTGGTTGAGGAAGCAGCAGCCGAGGATTTGGCCCTCGCTTGCACCCGTTGATCGATCATCCTATCCAATATCGCCATTAACTTTTCGGCATGAACGTTGGCCTCTCGAAGCAACCCTTGTGGATCGAATGGTTTTAGTAAAGGAAAAAAGTCTGCTAAATTCGGCTTTCCAACAACATCTGCTAAACCAGATACAGCATCCTTGAATTCTTGAGATTCAACAGAATCATAAGGAGCCATATCGGTGGAGAAGATGAAGTTGGAAAGAACGTTAAGAGACGTTGTGAATGCAGCTCGACCAATGTTTATCGGTTTTTGGCTCGTACAACATTCATGAACGTGATCAACAAGTTTTTGAATCTTTTCCCTGCGTAGGAGCTGACCATCATCGAGCTGTTGTACTGAGAACAAGTGTTGTTTGGATATTCTTCTTAGCCTTCGCCATTGATCCCCAACCGGCAACCAAACCACGGAGAATAGATGGTGGTTAACCACCCGACCCGTGTCTGGGACTGATCGGCTTGAGAAGGATAGATCGTGTTTGAGTAGGATTTCTTTGGCTATTTCGGGTGAGGATACAACAATGGTGATGATGCTACCCAATTTAAGCGTCATCAACCCACCATAGATTTTGGAGAGCGAAGCAAGCGAGATATGGGGTTTTTCTCCGAGTTCAAAGATGTTTCCGATTATCAGAAGGGGGTATGGACCAGGTGGAAGTCGGATAACGTTGCCCGACTTCCACCTAGTAAACTTAGTGGTGACGACATAGAAGAATATCAAAATGGATGCTATGAGAAAGAACGTGTTATTCATCTTTGTGATCTCTGTATCTTATCTTTATAATCTATCTATCTATCTATATATATATATATATATATATATGCGTGTGTATGTGTGCACTTATACATATCTGTTGGAGACTTTGTGTTGTTTATCTGTAAGTTCACAAGTAAAAGATAGCTTCATGTCTTGATCTCTTTTCCATGGCAGTCTGTATATATAGATGTAGATCCATGGAGTGTCTGCAGGTGTTTTATGCTCCGATGTTGCCACGTGCATGCAGTGAGGTTGTCTTATTCTAAACGTAGAATGTAAATATAAGCTTTTGTGGTTCCAAGAAAACTAGTTGTCTTACCGGGTTAAATGCAGTGGGAACCGTAAATTTTAACGATTTTGAAGCTTCATTGGTTTTATTAGAGAAGATTTAAGGATGATATAAGTTACTTTTGGTCTTTACATATTAATACAATTTGAATAAATAAAAGTTATGGTTTCAATTACAGTCTATCAATAAAAAAATTGTATGGCAGTTCAAAATCTAATATATTTAAAATTCAACATATTTAAACGACTCCACAAATGTGTTCGATTTACACCAAGAGTAAAGAATCAAGAGATCGAGACCGAGACCGAGAGTTCTAGAGCAATTGAATGGGAGATGAATGAGAGAACCTTTAATAACTCATGGTGAATATCAGTTTGAATGTCACCTTGGGGGATGGGGAAAAGACATAAAGGTATGAGATGGTGAAGGCATGAGTGAAAGATGTCAAAAGTATCTTAGGAACATGAGAAGAAAAGACAATAATTTGCATTGATAACTTGTACTATATGTTATTTTATTGTAGATTAAGATATTTTAAGACTGAATCTATAAAGTAGTAGTATTTAATGCATTATGAGTTGTTTTTAAGATTTTTAAGACTTTGTGCATAAATATATAATACTTTATGTATTAAAAAATATTTTAAAACTTTTAATAAATCTGATTTATAAAATGGTATACATTATAAAAAAGGTTTTTGATCTAAAAAGTTTATGGTTATGGTTTCTATTATTTCATCTTTTATTATTTAATATTTCAACACCGCGACCTCCTCATAGGTATTCTTGTAAATTGTGAATTCACAATTTTTTTTATAAAAATAATTTATTGACTTATTTCAATAAGATATTGGTAATTAACATTTTTTAGTGTTTGGATAAACAGTTTATATCGGTGTCAAACCGGTAATAAAGAGTTTTTGAAGAAGTTAAACTCTGCTGACTTATAATAAGTAGAAAAACATGAGTTGTTTCAAATAAGCAATCCCAAACACCCCATAATTGTGGAATTAGGGGCATGTTTAATACCATCTAACAAAATTTCTAGTTTATTTGGTTAACTATATATGATTATTTGCTAAATATTTAGTGATGTAGAAAATAGCTTATTCACTAAGCTACAAAGAAGAGCATTATGTAAAAAGCCAAGTTTTTTCGAAACTTATTCCTCCAATCAAAAAGCGTGTTCCTTCAATCTCTAAAAAAAACTTTTCCAAACAAAAAGTTTCTCAATTTAAACAAATTAATATACAAATACAACTTTATCCATATAGAACTTAGACATTGTTTGTCAAAAATAAGTTAGTTTATTTCTTTTATATACGTTTGAATGGATATAAGTTAGTTTATTGAAACGTTAGTTGGAATAGCTTATGATAAATTTTTTGTCACTTTATCCAATTATAATATTCATTAATATTGATTATTATTTATTACTATTAATTATAAATAAAAATTAATTATTACTAATATTAATTTAATAGCAATTAATATTAGTTAAAAATTATTAATTAATTTTAATTATTAAGTACTAATATATTTTTTTGAAAAATTACTAATTAATCAAATATGCGATGTTGACCAATTTTATTTTTATTCATATTATTTATAGTGATTATTTAAAAACATAAAGTAATGTAGATTTTTTTAAAATTTATTTTAACAAATCCAAACTTTATAATATATATAATAATCAATTAAATTTCTTTAATTAACATATTTTAATTTTTCTTTATTATCTTGTTTGTATTAATATATTATATTATTACATATTTGTTTAGATTATGTTATAAAATATTGTAATTGACTAACTTTTTTAAGATGCTGTTTCATGGATCTGTCTATACATGCACCCCTCCCCCATTTCATTTGATAGTTTCTTTCTATGACAAAATGAATATCTGAAAGGGGTGAGTAAAGACGGATATTTAGCCAAAATTTATGAAACCGACAGGTTCTTGAAATGATAGAACCGGAACCGGTTATACCGGTTCTTTACATTTGGAAACCAGTCTCGGAAACGTTTTGGAACCGGTTTCGGTACTGGGTACCCGATGTTTAATTTTTTATAAAATTTTATCGTCTTTTACCATAAAAAAAATAATTATTAGTTTATTACAAAGTACCAACGTAAAGAAATAAATACTACAAACGGTGAAAACTAATCCGATATTAAAAACTAATAATTACATAAATAATGTAATAGAAACTCTTGAGAGCAACAAAACGGCTTCAAGAGCACTTCATGTCAACACCTAATAACAGAAAGAAAAAAAACAAAACTTATTCAACTTTTAAGGAAGCGACGGCAAATGTAATCTTAAAAAGTGATTTAATAATTTCAATTTTTGTTTATTATATTTAATAAACATATAAAATAATCTTTATTGAAAAATAGCGAGTACCCGTATATTTCGATTATGGATATCCAGCAGGACTAGGTACTCGATTCCGGAACCGGTCTCGACGAATACCCAACGATTAATGGTTCCAAAAAATGAGAACCAAAACCAGAATCAGTTACGTATTTTAGGAATTTGAGCCTGAACCCTTGGGGACCTAAAACATGTCGTTCATACCGACCACATACCTACACTTTATTTTCTTTGTTTTCTTCATGTTTTTTTATGACTTTGACACGTAATCTTTTTTGTTTTTACGATCATTTAATTTGAATATACATCCCTTACATTTTAGTAACGTTAAATACAATAAATAACAATTTATTTTCATAAATTTATTTATAATAACATTGTATTTTCATTTTTCTTTATTACAACATGTATTTTTAAATTATTTTTATAATTGTATATTATACTTTGAAAAACTTACTCATTATAATAATGGATAACTTTTTCATTTGAATTAATATGACATGACACAAGTGACTAGTTTTCTATGTCATGTTATTGTCGACATCATATGGGATGTCTTGATGTCCACATAAAAAATTTGCTGATATGATATTTCTTATTATAGTGTTGTACTTTGAAAAAAAAATTGATTTTATGTATTATTTAACTAGAAGGGTACTCGTGCAATGCATCGAGACACATTTTCATTTCAAAGTTTCGTTTTATTTTTTATCCATGTCGATATAATACGATTTTATGTGGTTTTGTAAAAGTGATAATGTTTTTATTTTTGAATAAAATATAAATTTAAAAATATCATATAAAATTTGCAAAAAATATCAATATTAGTATCAAGTAACTATTTAAAAGTTGTTGTTTGTTTATTTATTTTAATTCAATTTTTTATTATAATTTAATTTAATGTAACGAAGTAACTTAATTTAGGTTTAATAATAAATTTTTTATAAAGATAATAATTAAGTATTATGTTAGAACTAAATAATTATCCTAATTATACTTTAGATTTTTTTATATTTTAAAATGAGATGTTTATCCTCTATTTGATTATGTTTATCCGCAGTTAGTTACACGAATTCAAACATAAAGCTTTAATAAGTTATATTTATGCACAATTTACTTGTAATCTTGAATTTTAAGTAATATGCATCAATAAACAGTACTTTATGCATTAAAAAATAGTTTTTAAAAGTTTTTGTCAAATGCTTTATAATATAGTATAGATAAGCATATTAAATAAATCAAAAAAATTATAAATTATTCATTAATATGTCAATATTAAGAAGACTAGTTAAAAGCAATTTATCTCGCTAACATTTTTAAAAAATATGTATTTTTGAACAAGCAAAATAAGATTTATTACGTTTTTTACAAAAAATGTATTTATCTATTAAAGAATATATCATACTTGTTTAAAATAAATTTCATTGACATATAAATTTATTAAATTAATTAGATTTTTTTTTAAATTATTCATTAATATAACAATATTAAAAAAACTTATAGAGCACAATTTATGTTGCTAACATTTTAAAAGAATGTTAAAAGATATGTATTTTTTGAGCAAAATCAAATAAGAAGTATTACTTTTTTATAAAGAAAATATTTATCTCGGTATATCATATTTATTTCAGAAAAAAATATTCTAAAATATTTAATTTACAAACAATTTAATAAGAAAAAGTTAAAAAAATTAAAATGTATTTTTTAATCGTTTATTGGGAAAGTGAGCATGATTAAAAATAAACCGAAAGACTTTTTTATTTAGGTCACGTTACTAAAATAATATGTTATCCAAATCATCTCATTCAAAGCAAGTGAGAAAAAAAAAATAATTAACCAGTTTAAAAAATAACAGTTTATCATTGCTATAATAGATAGATTTTTTTAAAGTAAGATACCCTAATAAAAATAATTTGAATATACATTGATTTAATAAAGTAAAAGTAGAATATGATAATAAGAAAATTTATGAAAATAGTTGTTATTTCATGCATTTAACCCATAATCCTATATTTACATTACCATCCCTAGTCCCTACCATTACATATCGGCCTGTACCTTTACACATGTTATAGTCGATTCCGACATCAACAAACCTCTCGCGCTCTGCCGTTACCATGACTATGATTCTTGGCAATCCTAACACGATCCCGGTAGTACCAGATTTTGATCAGAATGGCCAAAGAGCGGAAAGTAAATCTAAATCATATCCATATCTCCCCCTCGCGTTTTTAATCAAATTTGCGTAACACACATCAGATGCAACATTGAAGGACAAAGCTTCCTCCCAAAACCAAACAGAACGAGCTCAAACTCTCCGCCATTGTAGTCAATATTGACATCTAAGGACGTACCTTTCGGCATGAGGGTCGGACCATATAGACGGATAACAGCCCACATGTTTGTGCATCTTTAGGCATGTGGCCTTGGATTTCTACATCACACCGTAGAAATGGGACTGGAGGGTGTAGCCGAAAGGTTTCTTTAAACTACAGCTTCTACGTATGTCTGATTCCTCGATGATCATGGTGTCCTTGGGATGCATACTAACTCCGCCATCGCCTATTCCAAGGTGTTTGTCCTTATATCGGTTGATGCAATAGATAAGTCCTACACAAGATATCGTTAAATGAATTTATCATCCAAGAGTTTTCCAGAAAAAACTTTCAGGTACGGATACAAAATAATCAGCATAATATAAAATAAATAAATAATTTATTATAAAAACGGTTTCCAATGAAAGTGAGATACAAAGGGTTTTTTTTCTTTGTTACCAAAAAATATTAGAAGGAAGTTAAAAGGATTCGAACTTGCAACCAATAATGCCACATGCAATAATACTACTAATAGATTACAACCATTATTTTTTTTTTTAACTTAAGAGAGCAGATAGCAATTTAAAGCGGGTGCACCTTTATAGACCCCTAAAAGAATTCCACTGCATCGGGACGATAGAGCGGATGCACAAGCACACATAGCCTAAGCCTAAGTCCGCCCTAGGCTGTTAGAGTCTCATGTCGGCTGGACACAGACCATCAAACCTGTAAATATGTAAGAACCTCTCATCTCTTTAAAATGGATCTTTTAGAGAGATCTTCAAATATATTCCACACATATCCTAACAGAAGCATGATGGGTAAAAAGAAAGATTAATTACCAAAAGCAAATGCAATATGTTAATTAGGCTAAACTCGGATTCATTTCTGACTGAGCTTCAGCTGCAAATCTAAAACACCGTAGTTTCTGAAGAAAACACCAGCCAAGGATTCTGCCCACGCTTGCACCCGTAGATCGATCATCCTATCTATCCAATATCACTGTTAACTTTTCAGCATACACGTTGCCCTCTCAGAGCAACCCTTGTGTCTGCTAAATTCAGCCTTCCAACAATATCTGCTAAATTAGATATAGCATCCTTGAATTCTTGAGATTGAAGAGTATCATAATGAGCCATATCGGTGGAGAAGATGAAGTTGGAGAGAACAGTAAGAGATGTCAATGCAACTCTACTGATATTTACAGGTTTGCTGCTCGTAAAACACTGATGGACGTAATCAACAAGTTTTTGAATCTTTTCCCTAGGAGCTGGCCAGCATCAAGTTGTTGTACAGAGAACAAGTGTTCTTTGGGTATTCTTCTTAGCCTTCGCCATTGATCCCCAACCAGACGATGGAGAGTGGATGGTGGTTAACCAACCGGCCGGTGCCTGTGACTGATCTGCTCAAGAAGGATAGGTCATGTTTGCGAAGTATTTCTTTGGCAACTTCAGGTATGATGACGCAACAATGGTGGTGGTGCTACCCAATTTAAGCTACATCAATGCACAGCAGGTTTTCGAGAGGGAAACAAGTGAGATGTGGGGTTTTTTCTCCTAGTTCAAAGATGCTTCTGATTATTGGAAGAGGTTAGGGTCCAGGTGAAAGTCTGCCAAACTTGGTGGTAAGAACATAGAAGAATATAAAAATGGATAGTATGAGAAAAAATGTGTTCCAATCCACATGCCCCGGACTTCATGGGACATTCATCATGAATGGTGTAGCATTCATTATGAATGTTGTAAAAAAATCACGTTTTTATTCATGATGAATGGGAGGCATGTGTCCCACTCTCGTTTGTGTGGTGTTGTTTATCTACAAGAGTTTTTACAAGTAAAAGAGCATTGAAAGTTGTACCTTATCCATCCTCGTATTTATCAATTTGTAGAATCACCATCTACTTATGTCTGTTTATGCTCAGTTGTTTTCATGTGCAGTGAGTTTGTCTTGTTGTGAACATAAGATGTAACACTCATCAAATTACGTAGACAATGGTCTCAAGTAACAAAGCATACATTTTCAATACTTCACTATAGCTCAAAATCTTAAGACACAACAGAAATAGTTAAGAGTATTAAACATATTAGATCCCCTAATAAAGTATAGGTAGAATCAGAAAAATTATCATCTCCAGATCTTATTTTATGATACATACATAATTTACATTGAAATAATCAGCCAGCCAAAGACTTCAAAAGTTTTAATAACATGCATGATAATCATAAAACTGTACTTTATGATGCATGTTGATGTAAACAACATCATGAAGTAACAGATATCATAAAAAAATTGTATTAACAGACTATCTTATGTGTTGTATCTTTATCATAAAACATTATCTTTTGGCAAATCTAAAAACGTTTTTCATATAATACTTCAAAAGAGACAGGTATATGAATATGTACACACACATATATTCCAAGTTTAAGCAAAAATATAATCCCAGAGTTGGAACGCATACCTGCATCAATTGTGAATTGGTGTCGTTGAGCCAATTGTACATTTTCTTGCTTTTTGCTCCTTAAACGTCACTAAAATGATGACAGATCCAGCTATCCCTTCCTCAAAGCAGCAAACCATATTTCACAGATACTTTTACATAACAGCTTCCCTCACTTCACAGTTCTTATTAACACAATTGATCAAACCAGAATATGTAAACACCGAAGAAGCAATATGTTCTTGCTCCATTTTCTCTTTCAGTTTCTTTGCCTCACGAGTATTTCCAACCTTGCTACATCGGTCCATTAAAGTATTGTAAGTAATGACATTAGGAACCACCCCTTTTGAACGAAGCTTATGAAAGAGTCTTAATGCTCTATCAAGATTCCCCGATTTGCACAAACCATTTATTAGAGCATTATATGTAGCAATATCAGGAACAATACCCTTTTTAAGCATCTCATCCCGTAATTTAAAAGCCTCATTAACTTCACCAGAAGCCGATAAAGCATGAATTAGGGTACAATAAGTGAAATTATCAGGAGTGAAGCCTTTTTGTAACAATGCAGAGATGAATCTTTTTGCATCATCAACTTTTCCAAGTTTGCATAGCCCTGTGATCGCTACATTGTACACAACGTTATTGGGAAGAAGAGTAGCTTCCACAACTCCATCAAGTAAATCTGAGAACTTTTGGACATTCACATTTCTCATGTCCCACTCGAAGAATTTCCTATTGTCTCCAGGTAAAAGATCAAAATCCATAATTTTCTGCAACAGCATGTTTGCTTCATCAGTCATACCAAGCCTATATAGTGCACTAACTATTGTGCTACATATAAGAACATTAGGAGCTAAACCCTTTTCTTTCATCTCAAAATATGTAGTGAAAGCTTTATCCAGCATTCCTTCTCTGCACCAACCAGAAATTAGGGCACCATAGGTTACAATGTTGGGGATTAGCGCTCGGTTTTGCATCTCATTGAGTAGTTCTGTAATCTTGCTTAACTTCCTACATCTAAAATATCCGGTAACAAGTGAGTTATACATTTCAATGGACAAAGGGACGGATTCCCTTCCCATGGTATCCTTGATTTTAAGAGCTCTTTCCAAGTTCCCATCTTTACAGTAACCATCTGCAAGCGTATTATATGTGATTTTATCTGGTGAACAACCTAGTTTAAACATCTTATTGAATACCTGCTCTGCTTCAGCCATTTTCCCCATTTTGCACAATCCATTAAGCATTGTGTTAAATCCAATGACAGGTTTAATGAATCCCCGAGCTAAAAATTGTTTCCACAGCAGCAAAGCCCCTTCAAAGTCCCCTACTTTAAAGAGCCCATCAAGTAGAGTGCCATATCCAACCTCATTGGGGGTCAAACCTCTTTTTATCATGAGATGCCAAAGTTGCAAAGCCTTATCAATGTCATTAGATCGGCAAAAGCCTTTCAACAGTGTATTATAAGTTACAATACTTACATCTATGCCATCACGGACCATCTTATCACAAAGCTCTAAAGCCTGAGTTGTATAACCTTCCCTACAGTACCCATCTACCAAAGTATTATAACTGTAAGAATCTGGCCTTAATTTCCATTTACTCATACTTGTTACCACTCTTGCAGCTTCATCGAATTGGCCAAGTTTACAGTATCCATTGATCATCGAATTGCAGATGAACAAATTTACCTTCAATCCTGTTTTCAACATCTCTTCATGAATCCGAACAGCACAATTCATCTTTCCAATTCGACAGAACCCATCTACCAGAACACCATAAGCTTGCTCATCTAAGACCAATGATGGATTATCCTCTTTCATATCCCTAAGCACCTTCTCAGCTTCCTCCACTTTCCCCTGTTTGCAGTATCCTTTAGCAAACAAGGTATATGTAACCACATTTGTCAACAAGCCTCTATCATTCATCAATCTTAATACTCCATTTGCACTTCTCAGATCACCCATACCAACATATCCATTAATTAAACTATGGTATGTCACTAAATTTGGCTCCAAACCAATATCCTCAAACTCTCTCACAAACTCTGCAGCCCTCCCCACTTTCCCATCTTTACAATAAGCGTTCACAATAATACTACATGTACATACATCAGGCACAATCCCGATCTTATTCATCTGATCATACACTACAAAAACGGAATGAAACTCTCCCTTCCGAACCAAACAACTCAACAAACCATTACAAGACTGTAAACTAGGCACTCTCCCCAACTTACACATTCCATCGAACACGTAGAGTGCATTCTTTGTCAACCCTTTTTCCGCATACAACTTCAGGGTAATGTCAAACACTGTAGGAGAAAACCCAAATTCTCGATACACACGAACCAAATCATGCCAAATACGCAAGCCCAAACGACCATCTTCCTCACAAAACCCAACTAGCACCCTCAAGTGCGCTCTCGTTTCATCAAACATCCGTGCCCTCGACAGTATGTGAACTAATCTACAGTATGACTTGGCATGCGGTCTAAACTTCTGCTGCTTCAAAGCTAAAGTAAAGAAATGCAAACACGCATTTGGGTTTAATTTGAGTTTACTTAAGATTTGGTTTAAAAGGTCGTCGGAGAAGTCAAAAGAAAGGGTATCTATAGCGTTGAAGCGGCGGAGCACGAGGAGACGGCAAATGCGGTCGACCAACTCGGTTCGGGTCAAGTCGGATAAATCCCGGGGCTGCTTCCATTGGTGGATTAAGACCCGACGGTGAAAGAGAGAACATAGACGAGCAGTGGCAGTCGTATGGAGGGTGTATCTGAGCATCGGATTTGTCGCCAGCACTGAGAGGAAACAAACTCAATAACCATTCGGCCGTCTCATACTTTAATTTCACCTCAATTACAAAATAGGTCCCTCAACTTTAAAACTTTCTATACAAGGACCGATATTTAAAAAACTGTTCACAAACACTTTTTAATTGTGGAATTTTTGTCGTATGTCCATTGTTCATTAACACACGCCACTAATTCATCAAACATGTCCAAAATAAGCATTCTATCTTCGACATTAGTCTTTGCATCTTGGGAACCTGTAAGGGCTTAGGAGCCGTTTATTAAACGCTTACCCGATAAGTGTTTATCGGGTAATTTTCTTTACCGGATGAATAGAGCAAGGGTCAAAATTTACCCAGTAAGAGGAACGATAATGATGGAGAGTCTTACTCGGTAGGTGAGTGTGACGCTCTTACTCGGGTAAGTGCTTACTGGGTAAATTGTTGCATATGATATCATTTTGATGTACTACAATCTTACCCGGTAAAATAAATTATAGTGTTTGCTCCTAACCTTAAGTACTTACCGGGTAAGCATTTAGGTAAACAACCCCTTAATGAGAAAATCTCGTGATTGAAAACGATTTTGAACGGGTAGAAGTTTAATTTTATTATCCATAACTTTTTTTCCTGAATAAAATGACAGTCAATCTTAACATATTTACATACAATTATTAAAAGTAGGATCAGGAAAAATGTGATGAGCAGACGTATTATGACAAATGAGTATGGGTATTGTATGCAACAATTTACACAGTATGCGATAACCGTGGTAAAAGTCGTCACCTTCACTTACCGAGTAAGACTCTCGTCCTTGCATTCGCTCTTACCGGGTAAGACTCTTCATCCTTGCCATATTCATCCGCTAAAGTAACGTGACTTGGTAAGCACTTACTCGGGTAAGCGTTTGGTAAACGGCCCCTTAGTGTAATTGAATTTGTTATTTAACTATCACATAAGGCATGCAAGTGTAATGAGGAAGAGATGGAGAATAATAACTATTTGCCAAGGTGTTCCTCAAGGTACTAACACTTGGCAGTTGTTGAATGATTTGGTGCAGAATGATTAAGTGTTCCGAATGATTAAGAGGCTCTCATGATATAAAACAAAATAAAATATAATTGTTTGGTAATTGTTTACAATGAAATTAGAACGCTAAATGGTTAAGGGAGGCTCTAACATACAAAATCATTCAGATGGTTTTAGAACCATTAAGAGACACTTTTTTTTATCAAACAAAATTCATCTCTTAACGATTCAGAGGTTGCCTCTTAATAGAACTATTAAGAGGTAAACAAACAACCTTACTCCCTTCTAGCTTGTTAACTTATTTTGGTGCGGTACCAGTAATAATAAAAAGTTTTTAGTTTTTGGATGGAAAACAAATAAATACTTATCTGCTTATTATGTTTTAGTACCGCCATGAGCTAATCCAAACACTTTTTATAAAACTCTGATTTGACACCACATAAGTTGATAAGCTTGAGTTGTTTTAAATGACATTATAACAATTTCTTGTTTAAAGAAGATGATGTTAGTTTCGAAGCATCACGGTGGCAGCTACGAATGTGAATCGACAAGTTGATAAGGTTTGAATTGGGTTTGATTGAAGTAATAAGGTGGGAATGATTAGGGTTCGTACAACCAAATGCCTTCGATTTGTGTAATTTCCTTTAAGGCAGCAGCATCTGGCGGAGGAGGTAGGGGCCATTTACCAAACACTTACCCGGTAAGTGCTTACCGGTAAAATTTAACACTATTATTTACTTACCGGATAAGATTTTAAGTCCATCAAAACGACATCGTATGCAACAATTTACCCGGTAAGTGTTTACCATGGTAGTCGTCGCCCTCACTTACAGGGTAAGACTCTTGGTCCTTGTCTCACTTTTACCGGATAAGATTCTTGGTCCATGCCATATTCATCCGGTGAGGTAATATTACTTGGTAAGTGCTTACCCGGGTAAGCGTTTGGTAAACGGCCCCGCAGACTGATTCATTCAGCGGAAACTTACCCCCAACACTACAAATCAAAAAAAGAGCACCTCGATATGCAACTTACATCTCATTAAAGACGTATGATGATTAGATGTAATTCAACATCAAGAGTTTCTTCAAAAAAAAGTTTGAGATTTTTACAGGATTTTAAGGCTGTGCACTAACCAAGTTATATAACAGAAACAGAATGAGATCCATAACAATCTTAGGCCTTCTTACACATATTTTGCCTTTCTGAATCGCTGCAAGTTGGCAATTTTGTTGCAAACAAACAATCAATCATTCTAACGAAAATGTAACAATCATACTTGAACATACATACAGGACTTGAGCGGACCCAGAAACAATTTCAACCAATTCTGCTGCGTTCCTTCTAAAATTTGCACAATTGAAGTCTCTCGAAACCCATGTCCAGAACTCAAAACTTGCAAGCTTCCATTTAACATCATCAACGGTGAAGATCCGATGGTCAAACAAGTTGACTGTAATTCGCTCTGATCAGGGACCAGAAGACTTGAAGTACGGTGTTTGCAGGCAATATCAACTAGGTAGCCATGGAGGGTACTGAAGTAGAATACTTGACACCAAATACAGTCCCAACAACTGGGGAGTATTTTGGGATTCTAATGGATTCCAACAAGGTTTTTCATTGAAAATAAACTTCCTTCTTGCAAAAATGTCAAGAAACCATAACAGCTTCAGGATTTGCAAATTTGGACAAATTATGAGAACATAAATGCAAAAACGAAACCACAAGGGTGGTGTCTGATTGGTTTGAGCTTAGCTCCAAAGGTCAAAAGTACCCAGAGGTCCCATGTTCAAGTCCAAGGAGGAATAAAAATTCCCTTGTAGCCATGGAGGTTCAAATGCGGTTACTCGGGCTATCTGCAAAGCAAAAAAAAAAAAAAAAAGCAAAAACGGGGATCGTATCATTTTTTTATGTTCAAATATTATAGTTCTTGCTAAAAAGTAATGTTTTTTTTCTTGCATTCTTCACAAAAACAATGATTTGATTGTAAATAAACCAAATATTCCACCTCAACTTAATTTTGTCTAGAATAGTAATGAAACAACTATGCTTCATAATGAAGAATTTCTTAGGTGAGGTTGAACTAATTTAACAAGAAGTATGCTAAAATTATGTTAAATCACTAACTAAAAGTGCAAAAAGAACACAAGATTTATAACCTTCAAATGTTTACTTATCTTTATAAGCTTTCTGAACTTCTCCAATCTCCATCTCCATCTCAGAGCATTGTGGAAGCAATTCATCTTCAAGATCACTCATTGTACCCTCTTCTTTGAAAGATTGATCGATTCGAATAACGTTATCATCCTCGGATTCACTCTCAAATAAATCATCATCTTCCAAATCAGGCAAATCATCAAAAGTTTCAATCTTTTTCTTCCTTCCTCTATACCCAGTAAGATTCACAACTTTCTCCTTCCAAACTACCAATGGGGATTTCTCAATCAATTCAGACCCATCATAAGCTTCTGTCAAGAAAACCCGAAATCTTTTCCCTCTTTCAGAAACATAAAAGATCCCAAAATGTTTCAATAATATCCTCATCAGCTTCTGGGGCATCACAAATTCTCTTCTGAAGTGAGTTAAATGATCAGTAACCAATTGTTTCTCATTCATAAAGCTTAACACCTCATGCATTACTGCTATTGCTCGCTTATCGAACTCCACCGATCCAGCTTTGAGCTCCTTAGCATCTGCATAAGGAGAGAGATATTCCCTTTTTTGAAAATTCTCAATCTGCCCACCATATCTATACACTTTCTTGTAATCAGGAGGGAATTTCATTGGAAATGGAAGCGAAAGCATGCCGGGAACATGATCGTCAGCTTTCGTGATACCCAAAACCTTCTTTTCCAATTCAGTAACAGACCATGATGGATTCCAAGAAACTAGCTTCAAAAACTCAACATCATCTTCATTCTTAAGAACTTGAAAAATGTCTGGATATTTATGCACCAATTGTTTCCTAAAATCATAGGGCAAACCCAAATCTCTTCTAAAATGTGCGATCTTATCCAAGGGTAGAATCTTTTCCACTGACATCATCAGCAACCTTGTTACATGCTCAACAGCTTTTTCTTCATTGTCTCCTATTAATCTCTCTTCTTCTTCAATCAATTCTTCACCTTTTTTCGTTAACCCAACCCACGTTGTACCCCTTTGGTCCTTGTACAACTCGAACAACTTTGGCGATTTCCGAATAAAGTCTGATATCTTGTGGGGTTTTGGCAAGTTGAGTGGACGCCTGTGTTGATCAAGAGACCTTATGGGTATGATTTGTTCGGGCTCATGCTTTAATAATTCCAACAGAAACAAGATTTTTGAGGCGATTTTGTGCTTTTCGACTGCGACTTCGAGGGCGTGTACTCGTTTCTTTTGGCTTCGGTCTTGAACTCGTCTGCTCGTTGTCATCAATCGTAAATGCGAGGCTACGTAGTAAAGATTTTTGAATAATTTGGTGAAGTTGGTTGGAGGTTTGATAAGTTGATTTGACATTGAGATTGATCTCAACGAGAGTGTTGATCAAGTGTTTGTAGAAATGCCTGACTGAGGTAACCAAGTCGCTGGCTACTGGTCAGCGAAAGACACCACGCTCGAATTACCCCTACTATTGGGCTGGGCTGGGCCGGGCCGGCTCAGGTAAGGATCATAATATATAACATACATGGGATGGGGTACACCACGGCAAGTTGGATGAGACTTGATGGGGGCAAGCATATGGCTATACGGGACCGGAAGAAAACCATATAAGATAAGGGTAAAAATAGAAAATTTAAGTTAATCAACAAACGTTTTTTGTCTTTGATTAGGGGTCTTTCTCCCAGTCCTTAAAGGCTAGATTCGCCCCTGATGGGGTATTATAAAATTATTTTCCCAATATCTAATGATGATGATATATTATGGTATCATTATATCCTATCAAAGATACGTAAATAATGAACTTTCATATTAAGTACCTTTATACAGGGGAGGGTTCTGTTGGGAGCTCAATTTTCATCGTGAACCGAGGGTGCTAACAACGTCATGTGTCAGGGTTGTCCCAATTTTTTCTACGTCTCGTTACATTACCAAAATAATATATATGAACTTTTTCCAATAGGTCGTTAAATTGAAATATTAGAATATAGGAATTCACCAAATGTTGTTTACCTCTAAATTTTTAAGAAAGCCTAACTCGATTCTAGGGTCAAATTCTCCCTCAACTCGTAACTTTTCTACGTGGTATCAAAAGGCTATGATACTCTGAACAATTACGATCAATATCATGATGAACTAAGTCAACAAAATTCTAGGTGAAGACGCTCGTCAAACAAGAAAGAGAGAAACAAAAAAACAAGAGAAAGATTACTAAACATGGTTGTGCTTTGTTTATTAGCCATTTGGAAGTAAAGATGAATGGAACTAGCCGATTACGAGAGATAAATTAGAGACCTAAGGATAAGGGATTTCAGATTTGCAATCATAATCTAAAATCAACGAATCGGCAAATCTGGTAGAAGAGGGAAGGGACTGGGGCATTATGGCATTGAGCTAAATTGCTAAAATATTATAATCGCCAAATAGGCTAAAATAAGATGTAAGAGAGCCAAGGAATCGACATATGTATATATATATATACACACACACACACACACTGAGGAGGGGGGAAGTTCAAATGCAAACTCAATTTTCATTGTAAACGTGAGGATTGATCTCGGCCATGCATTTTATTTGATCCAACAACTTACATTAAATATAGTTTTTAATTAAAGTTATTAATTAAGGTGGTTAGGGGTCAAAAAGACATTTAATTTCAATCCATGCCTACCCTTTTTGACTTATTATTTTCTTTTTTAATTAAAATTTTTTACCTCCTTAAAGTTTAAAATAAATTATCTTAAAAATCACTAATACTTTAATCAAACAAATTATATCAAAAAAATGAGAATTTCATGCTTTTCGATATGACATCTATCTCGATATACTTTTTTTTTTTTTTTTCATTTTAACCGTTTTTTTACATGTAATCGTATACATGTGTTATATTCATTATGAATATTTATGTACGTTCAAGTGAGTACAAAAGTTCGACACCTTAAGTTCGTAACTCGACATCATCTTCTTCAATACTTCTTCAATATCGTAAGGTACCATTTTCTTCATCACCGTAACCGAACACCCATCAAGACCGAGCGAGAGGACTTATCGAGATCGAGCGAGAATCCATCGAAACTAATTGAAATGGTCGAGAAACTGTTCATTGATTTAGTATGTCTTTATATGTGTTAAACCATAATCTACCACCTTCATTTTCCATCGAGAGCCTATCAATTGATTTTAAAATCATAGACTATCACTTTCATTTTTTTATCGAGAAGGATTGGGAACCCATCGACACCAATCAAGAACACATCGAGATCAATCGACAACTCATTGGGACCGATAGACACCACTCAAGACTAATCAAGAACTCATTCATTGACGTGGTGTGTGTTTGTTTGTATAAAACCATAACCTACCAATTTTGACTTTTGTCGAGATGGATCGGAAAATCTATGGAGACGAATCAGTAACTCATCCAGATCAATCTAGAATCCAATAAAGAAAAACTAATGTATGTAGAGTTGAAATTGTGATATATTCATGATGAATAATATGTGTATGCATGATGGATATTAAAATAAAAATTAATATTTATGATCAGTAGCATACTAATATAAATACTAAAGAGTTATTGTATACACATGATTATACATAAATATTCATGATAAATAATATGTATATTCATGATGAATGTACAGTGAAAATTTATATTAATGACGAATATCATACTGATATATAAATTTAAAAAAATGTTATATACACATGAACATATATAAATATTCATGAATAGTATGTATCATATTGATGCAAGCATACTAAAGAGTTATTGTATACACATGAATACACACACATATACATATATATATTCATGATGAATGTTATAAAGAAAATGTATATTCATGATAAATGTTATAATGAATATGTATATTGATGATGAATGTCATAGTGATGTATGAATACTGAATATTTGTTGAATACATAAGTATTCATGATTAATGTTATAGTAAGTTATATATTCATAATGAATAGCATACTGATGTATAAATATTAAAAATTGTTGTAAACATATGAACGTACATAAATATTCATAATGAATATTATGCAGATATGCTATTTGACGTAAAAAACGTTAAAAATATAAAAAGACACTATATCGAGATGGACGTCAAATCGAAGAGAATGAAATGTTCGATTATTCAATGTAATTTGTTTGATTAAAATATTAATTATTTTTAAGATAATTTAGTTTTGAAATTAAGGGAGTAAAGGTTTTTTAATAAAAGGGAAAATAAAAGGTCAAACATGTTAGGCGAAAATTCTTACTTCCATTTTTGTCTCTAATCACTTCTTAATTAACTTTTTTATGTTCTAACCATTTATTAATTTTCTATATTTTGATCAATGACTAAGATTTGTTCTTATGTTAACAATGAAAATTGAGTTTTTATTTGAACTCACCCTTACATTAATAAATATATATATATAGGGGCTTAATCAAATGAGATCTGAATTGTTTGTGGTAACTGTGAGAACCAATCTCAACCACATATTATAATAATCAATGGGTAAGATTAAAAATAATCTTAATTAATGTATTTCTATAAATAAATTACTGTCATTTAATGACATTATATGAACAAGGGCAAGATGGTCATTTTGTATGTTAATATTCTTGTTTCAATTGGAATCCAAATATAGTGAAGATATTTTCYTGTATTTGAGACGGAGACGATTGCCTTAAGCCCTAGAGTAATCTCAATTTGTGCTACATTGTGGTACATTTAGTGTTGATCATAATCTGTTGGAAAATGGTGTGATACATTGTGATAACATTTAGCCTTTGTAATAATATTTGACTGGACATTGTGATAATCAATTTGTGCTACATTGTGGTAACAGCATCTCTGCTACATAAAATCTGCAGATGTATTAACAACATTAGTACAAATTGGTGTGATAYWTTRTGATAACATTCTTAAATATTATGGATACAATCTTCAACAAATATGTGTGATTTCATGTGATTCATCAGAATAATGAACATGTTTACACAAATGAATTTATTTTTTTTGAAATTATTTCACTAAATGATATTAATATTTTATTTTARRAATGTAAATCAATATTAATTTATTTTATTTGAAACGGTTGCATTTAAAAAATTAAAATTTAATTTAAATTAGGAATTGACTAACATACCCTTTTAATTTGATTTTAATTGTATAATTAATATGTTAAAATGATTGATTGAGATTGGTTTTCACAGTTACCACAAACAACTCAGTTCTCCCTTGAATAGGCCCCTATATACATATATATATATATATATACATATATATATATACATATATATATATATATATATATATAAAGAGAGAGAGAGAGAGGGAGGGAGGTTTAGGTGAAAACCACCAAAAAGTTGAAAAACTAGAAACACATCGGTAACTAATTGTTTTGATGGTATGCATATGTGTATACAAGCAATTAAAGTTGTTTCTCTGTTTTTATGCAGATGTGCATATCGTTCAAATGAATGGTTACGAGATTGTTACTCAATTTTTTTAATTTTTTTGCGGTTTTCTCCTAAACTTGACCTTGTGTTTGTGTATAGGGAGAGGTTCAAATAAGAAGCATTAAATATATGAGAAATAGAGAAGCAATCCTAGTCGTTAAATTAAATGATCAAATTTTATTAAGTAAATGTAATATGGTAATTAGCAATTCTTTCAATATGAATATGATCTAGAAAGCAATCTTGAGTAAGATGTTGATTTTGATCGTAAAACTATAATCTTATATGTGAATCTAAGATTAATTTGTGAATCAATTAAATATACATGCCTTAAAATAATTCATATGTGAATCAGTGAAATTTTCTTATGCGAATTACACGGGTTCATATATGCACATATAGTGCATATGTAAGTCATATAGGTTCACATATGCATGTATTATAATTTGTTTGCCGCATATCTGTAAAAGTTATGAAACTACTCATTTATCTTTCGCATAGTTGTTGTCACGCAATTGAACTATCTTGTTTTGCACTATTAGCCCCTCAATCTTGACCGTTAATTTTATAGTGGAAGGCTATGATTACTTAATTATTTCTCATATATTTGATACTTCTCAAATAAAACTATGTATATATATAAACCTACATACATACATACATACATACGTATATATAGATGCAGGTTCAAACGAAAACGCTAATTATTCAAGAAAACAAGAAAAATGTCGTTAATGTACAAAATCATATACAATTCACGTACAAATCATACAGGATCCGGCAGCGACTTAAGTCACGGCAAAAGTCGCCTGATTCCACTTTTTAACATTAATGTAAAATCACATATGATTTTGTACATTAACAACATTTTTCTTATTTTCTTAATAGTTAGCGTTCTCGTTTAAACCCTACTCTCTCTCGTTCTCTCTCTCTATACTATACTATACTATAAAACATTTGATGAAAACTCTTAAAAACCATTTTTTATGTATGAATTACTGTTTATTGATGCATATTACTTAAAATTCAAGATTACAAGTAAATTATGTAAAAGTACAACTTATTAAAGCTTCATGTTTGAATTCGTGTAACTAACTGCAGATAAACATAATCAAATAGAGAAAAAATATTTTATTTTAAAATCTAAAATATAATCAGGATAATCGTTGATTTCTAACAAAATACTTAATTATTATATTTATAAAAAAATTATATTATTAAATCAAAAATAAAAAATGAATTAAAGANATATTTATAAAAAAATTATATTATTAAATCAAAAATAAAAAATGAATTAAAGAAATACACAAAAAGGGTAAATTTTAAATAGTAGTTTGGTACTAATATCAATATTTTTTTTTTAAATTTTATGATATCTTCATATTTATATTTTTTTCCAAAATAAAAACATTATCGTTTTCTCAAAACCACATAAATGATAAAATTGTATTACATCGACTGAGACAAAAATTAAATAAAACAAAACATTATAATTGAGATGTATCTTGTTGTATCGTGCGAGTACCCTTCTAATATATATATATATATATATATATATATATATATATATTCAGTCGATGTTTACTTTACAACCACGTTATTTGTACAAATCGTGCAAACTTCATTCAACCAATTATATATTTTCATTTTATTCAAATTTTTTATAATTATGAGAAGTTGATCAATCATTTTTATTGTGTAGGGTGTTAATCATGGATATTATCATTTTCATCATATTAATTTTAGATAAATACATAAAACAATTTCATTAAAATTTTATAAGTATTATATGAAACAATTTTATAACCATATATGAAACAACTTCATCAACAAGTATTATATAAAACAATTTCATAAGATTAAACAATTTTACGAAATTTTTTATAAGATTAAACAATGAAATCTACGGATGATGGTGGTTTGCATGGTTTGTAGGACCTGTTCAGAATCTCACATTTGTACACCTTCAGGCATGGTCGCCACGCGTCAAAGATATTCACGGGACATGCACCATGAATCATGTAAAATTTTCACGTATATCAAATTAAATGAAAACATAAATTAAATAAAGTGAAATATTTATATGTTTTATGTAATTGTAATGGATGGAAAAAGAGTACGAAATTTAAAATGGATCCACCGGACCAGCAATAAAGATGCATTTTATATTGGTTTAATGATGTAAAACAAGTGACAATAAATATTGTGCTTGAAAAAATATTTGAATTCACAACACAACTACCGCTTTGGCAGTTGGGCCATGGGGAGTGGTAGTACTCCAAATAATGGTGCCCATTTAGGGCCATCATTAAGCATGGAATGACAACTCACCCTAAATTATCATACCTTCTTTAAATCTTATCATACCATAACTATTTTTTTCCAGACATATCTTAATTTTAATGTTTTGTTTTATACTTTTATTCTTTATATTTATCAATATTAAAAGGGTATTGGTGCAATGCAGCGAGATATATCTTAATTTTTTATTTTATTTTTTTATCTCAGTCGATGTTATAGTATGGTCTTATGATATCTTTAAATTTATATTTTGTTTAAAAATATAAATTTAATAAGATGTAGTTACGCACAATTTACTTGCGATCTTACATTTTAAGTAATATGTATTAAAAAACAGTATTTTATGCATAAAAAATAAAAAAAAATTATCAAATGTTTTATAATATAAAGCATTCAAAAGAAGGCATTTTACATGGAACCTAAATATGCTATGCATTAATGAATGCAATTTATGAGTCTTCTAAACACTAAAATTGTTTTATTGCAAGTAAATCAAGTGATCAAAATATTATATTATAAGATACATTTATAAAAGTTGTTACCACATCGATCTTAATGTACGAGTTCATTAAATAATTTTAGAACGAAAACATGAAACTGCATCTGCATTTAAATAAATCTACCAGTTTCATGATCGTTCTTGTATTAAATAACTAAAACTGTTATTAAATAGTTTTTATTGGCTAAAAGATCTTTTACGGGTAAAAATTTAATCTTAATTAATATCTAATATAAGTTATTAGATATTTAGTAACACTTTTAAAGTGTCTCATATGACAAATTAACTAGTTTATGTGAATTAATTTAATTGAAACGAAATAAAATATAATTAAATTTAATATTTAGTATCGTAAACTATAATTATATATACAGAGAATGTTACAGAATCTTCAATATAAAATTATTATCAGTAAAAAGTGAAGTGTCTTGTAAGAATTACCATTTAGAGAGTTCTTATAAGAACCTTATCTTCTCTAAGTTCTTGTACAAGAATTTTAGTTCTCATCATGAAGTTTGTTAGAAATGGGTATTTTCTAGTTTTTTATATACTTTTCTTAATCTTATAATTATTATTGATGTCGAAAAAAATCAATGAGATCCACACAAAAAAAAGATTCTTATAAGAGCTCTCATTATGGACCTTTTTTTAATTTGATGAGTTAGAGATGAGGTGACAACAAAAAGTTTTTAAAAAAGGGTTTTTTTTTTATTAACCTGGATATCCAACCCGCTATGCGAGCCGACTAATTCCAGGACGACTACCTGCTTTGCAGATAGTCCGGAGTCATCTATTTGAACCCCCATGACCACAAAGGGATTTTTATTTCTCTTTGGATTTGAACCTAGGATCTTCAAATACTTTTGATCGTTGGAGCCAAACTCAAACTAATCAAACATCACCCTTATGGTTAAAAAAAAGGGGGGTTATAAAAACCTCAATGGGAATTTTTGTATGCACCTCTTTCATGTCAGAATCAAGTCATTTCATATATTAAGAATGTAAAAAGTAAGTATTTGTGATATAAAAATTAATATGTAAAAATACATTTAATAATATATAAAAATTTATTTAATGCAAGTGTAAAAAAATCATAATTTTCAATATGAGAACATGAAACAACTTTATATGCACGAAGTATATGCCTCTATAACATAGATGAACGATCAAATACAAATCGCCTCAATTTGTACAAATCTTACAAATTAATTACAACTAATCTCGTAAATCCATTTGTTTTTTCTTTTAATTTATAAGGGTATTGTGGTCATTTGAATTTATGTTTGGTAATTATTTAATATTAATAGATAAGTTTAGTAATAACATAATATTTATATAAATATGGATGATATATTGATTAGCACAATATTGGTAAAGATTTAATTGAGGTATCCATAAATTTTTTTTTAAAAAAAATCGCCACATTTTAAAAAATGTAGAATAATTTTGTTTAAAAAATTGCCACTAATTTTTAATGAAACAAGTTTAAACTGTTCAATGAAACAGAATAATTTCCAATGAAATAGACTGAAACTGTTCAATGAAGCATGTCATATATGATTGCATCAGATTCATATGTATAACAGCTGTAATGAAATATGTTTTATATTCATATGTATGTATAACGATTTGTAATGAAACAAATTCATATATATAACAGTTTGAAATGAAACATGTTTATATGTATAACAATTTGTAATGAAACATGTTCATATGTATAACAACTGTAATAAAACAGATTCATAAGTTATATATGATTGCATCAAGTTTATATGTATAATAGTTATGATGAAACAGATTCATAGAACATGTTTTTATCCATTTTACCCTTCCATGTCTCTAATATGAATTCTTCATTTTCTTTTATTTTGTTTACGTTACTCATTTAGGGCCTGTTTGTTTTTTTAAATTTGCCTCTTAATTTCCTCTTATGTCTGAATCAGTCAGACATATAGATTTTCAGATCGTTTGTTTTTTCCTCCAAATTAAGAGCTGAATTCATAAGGTTTCATCTGAATTTTTAAGTGGTAACCTTAGCTCTTAATACCTCTTATTTGTTTATCCGCCTCCTTACGTCGCTCTCATCCGCCTCCTTTACGTCGCTCTCATCCGCTCTCGTCCCATTCATCGATTGAAGCTGGTGTTCTTCATACATCGCAGATTCAAGCTGGTGTTCTGGTAACAAGCTGGTGTTCTGGTAATCTTCTCGATCTCTCTTTGGTTTCAGATTTCAGATTTCAGACGTAAAAACAAACAGTCTGGCTGATTCAGATTTCAGACGTAAAAACAAACAGTCTGGCTGATTCAAATTTCAGACTTCAGCACCACCTTTTAAAATTCAGAAGTGAATTCAGACTTCAGACTTCAGCACCTCTTAAAAAACAAACACCACCTTAATTTGTTTCAATCTTGATCTTTCATTAAAAAAAAGAATGGATGTAATTAGTTTATAAGATTTATATAAAATAAATGGTTTATAAAATAAACCTCCTCTATAACATAATCATATGGATTTGACAAATTTGGACATGGAAAAAAGGTTTTACGTTATTAAATGCCAAAAACACAAAACCACCACAATGGTTAAACCTTGAGGACTCTTTTGTCTTTTTGACCAAATAAGGGCAGTTTGATTTCCAGCTCATTCCCCACAACATGCATAGGTTTAAAACTAACCCAAGTTAGAACTCAAATTAACCATGGTTAAGTTAAATCCCTATTAAACTCTGATCCCATTCTCTAACCCCATAACCCCACTCACCCCATTCATTCAGTTTCAGCTTGCACTGTCTTTGGCTAAAGTGCGCCACCATGGGTGCATTACGCATCATCACCATCCTCATTGTTTCTCTACTCGCCGCCGGCTCCGTCGTCACCGCTCACAACATCACCGCTATCTTGTCGCAGTTTCCAGAGTACAGCGAGTTCAACAACTACCTCTCACAGACAAAGCTCGACGATGAGATCAACAGCCGTGAAACAATCACCGTTCTCGTGTTGAACAATGGCGCCGTGTCGTCACTCGCCGCGAAACATCCACTCTCCGTCGTCAAGGGCGTTTTGAGCCTTCATATCCTTTTGGACTACTACGACAATAAGAAGCTTCACGCCATCTCCGATGGCACCACACTCTCCACTACTTTGTACCAAACTACCGGAAATTCCCCAGGGAATGTCGGATTTGTTAATATAACAGATTTGAAAGGCGGTAAGGTCGGATTTGGTTCGGGGGTTCCCGGCTCGAAGCTTGATTCGTCCTACACCAAATCTGTCAAACAGATTCCGTATAACATTTCGGTTTTGGAGATTGACGCCCCTATAATCGCTCCGGGGATTTTAACGGCCCCTGCTCCATCAGCAGATGTAAATATTACTGGTTTATTAGAGAAGGCAGGTTGTAAGACGTTTGTGAAGTTGATTACTGACACCGGAGTGTTGAAGGTTTTCCAGACGGCGGCGGCGAAAGGATTGACGGTGTTTGCTCCGTCGGACGAAGCGTTTAAGGCGGCTGGTGTGCCGGATCTGAGCAAGTTATCAAATGCTGAGCTTGTTGCATTGTTACAGTACCACGCTCTCGCGACTTACACTCCAAAAGGATCTCTGAAGACGGCGAAGGATCCTATTAGCACACTCGCGACGAACGGCGCCGGAAAGTACGATCTGACTGTTGAGACCGCTGGCGATTCGGTCACACTAGATTCTGGAGTCGGCACTTCGCGTGTTGCTAGCACGGTTCTAGATTCGACGCCGCTCTGCATTTTCACCGTCGACAATGTACTTCTCCCAACCGAATTATTCGGCAAATCTCCATCTCCATCACCGTCTCTATCACCGGAAACTTCCCCTTCGTCCTCGCCTGCACCTGCTGCTCTATCTCCGGAACCTGCAGCAGCACCTTCACCATTCCTTTCACCTCCTGCACCTCCGACGTCATCCCCCACCGCTGGTCCTGCTCCGTCTGACGGCCCCACTGCCGATTCCCAAAATAGTAACGCCAGCAATGCCGTTGACGGCGTCAAAGCTCCGTCACTCATCCAGGCTCTGGTTACGGCGTCAGTTTCGGTTATAATATCATCCGTTATGTCCTAAATCGTCATTTCACTTGTTTGCGCTTTTTGTTTAATTTATGATTTAATTTTTGTTTTATGTCTAGATTATGGTGATGATTATTATTAGGGCTTGTTCGGTTAATTAGATGCGCATTTTAGCAGCAGGTGGCGTTATAACCTTGATAACTGCGCGTGTGACTTTGAGTGATTTGAGAGTGATACTGATTACCGAGGAACGGTTTCATTGATTCAAACTTATTTTTGTACTTTTTTATGTTCTTTTCTTTTCAAGTGTTACAGTTTATGCATATCTTTATAAGTTTTGGATTTAAGGTGTTTGTCAATATTCTTTGACTAAAATAATTATATACTAATCACGAGTGGTGAGAATTTGAGTTTGTGTTCCAGTAATTTTCAATTCATGTCCTTTCACAGGATCGTTAATAGTTATCTATACTATATTATAATAAAGTATTTGATAAAAACTTTTAAAAGTTATTTTTTATGCATAAAGTATTGTTTATTAATACATGTTACTTAAAACTCAAGATTACAAGTAAATTGTGCGTAAGTGCAACTTATTAAAGCTTCATATCTAAATTCGTACAACTAACTGCAAATAAACATAATCAAATACAAGATAAACATCTCATTTGAAATATAAAAAATGTAAAATATAATTAGGATAATCATTGAATTCTAACAGAATACTTAATTATAATCTTTATAAAATGCTATATTATTAAACCAAAAATAAATTATTTCATTATTAAACTTAAATTAAATTATAATTAAAAAATTACATAAAAAATAAGTATTTTTATTAACATTGATATACTTTTTTTTTTTAAATTTTATGATATCTTCAAATTTATATTTTATTCAAAAATAAAATCATTATTGTTTTCTTAAAAACATATAAAATCGTATTATAACATCAACAGAGACAAAAATTAAAATAAAACATTAAAATCAAAATGTATCTCGTTGCATTACACAAATACCCTTCTAGTTTTTTTAAATTCATTTAGATACCATAGGCTAATGGTTTCATCATTCCTATTTCCTTGGCAAAAGTGAAAGAAAAAAGTTTTCATTCCTCGGATTCTATAACTTAGTTTTAAAAGGGTAAAAATAATACTTGCATCCAATTTAACCAACACTATTCATTGTTGTTGGTCTTCACAATTGCCACCCACTCACCCCAACCCCACTCTCACTCACCCACCACTACACCACTACAATTATCATCGCAATCGTCATCCACGTCCCACCCCCCTCTATCATACCCACCACTGACCATCAATACCATAATGCCACTATTGTTGTTATCACATCTCCCCCACCTCCCCCACACCACCACCATCGGTACCCCCACTAATTAATATTATCATTATATTATATTCATAATTTAAGAAAAAAATATGAAAATGTAATAAAATAAATGGATGTTTTGATCATTTATTGTTATTTATTTTCAGTTTTCAAGTTGTGTTATGCCAAGAAAGAAGATTGCAATTCTTTTGATAAATTCCATTTCATTTCCTATCAATCAAACACGTAGTAAAAATTCGTTAAATTTCTTCAAAGTCATTCTTTGATTGATTTCAGTTCTACAAAATCATTTTACAAACAAGCCTCCCCTTAGAGTGAATTATGGATTTGGTCCTTGTGGTTTAAAGAAAATTGGCTAGCGTCCATAAACTTGAAAGATTATGGATCTGGTACCCATGGTTGTGATTTTTGTATTACTACGGTCCATCTCCTAACTTTGTTAACAGTGACTCTGTTAATACAGGAACATTTAAGGTTTTTTTTTTTTTTTTTTTTTTTTTTTTTTTTTTTCTCTTGTTTTTCATTATATTAAAAAAACATATCATACTATATTTATGTATTAAATTATATATATATAGTTCAAACGAGAATGTCTTCATTTTGCGAGAACGTAGGAACACCTTTTTACTATAGACAATCACATGTGATACTATTATTTCATCACATATGATACACATGTGATACTAAATCAGAGACGCGGACGATTTTCGATGCGATCTTGGTTGCGGGCCAAGTCGCTCTTACACCACTAAGCCCCCTCAGAAGTATTATCACATGTGATAAGGGTGTCGTTGATATGATACTATAATCCATTAAGACCATCATATGTGCTGCTAAATCATAGACGTAGACAACCTTTGGCGCGACCTAAGTCGTAGAACACGTCATCCGCACATCACATGGCCCCCTTACGCGTATTATCACATATTATAAGGGTGTTCTCACGTTCTCGTAAAATGAAGGTGTTCTCGTTTGAACCTCCACACATACACACATATATATTCACACACACCAACAAACTTTGACACATATACTGTTGGACCCTTTCCATCGTCGACTTCCTGATACCGCCAGCGTCCTTTAGTTCCAGCCGTTTGACCCCTCCCACTACTAACCTCTAGTTCTAGCTTCCTCTACCGGTGGCTTCCATCTCCAGCATCTCCTACCTCCACACCTACAACTTCCCTCTCTTTTTCTCCACTAATCCCCTTCTTCACCAAACACGGATGCACAACTCACCTCCTAAATTGAGAACCCTTTGATGAGGAGGTTGGTAGTGGAGGTCGACGGCTGGAACTGGAGGAGACCACTGGAGTGAGGAGGCCAACTATGGGAATGGTCCGACAATATGAGGTGTCAATTTATATGCGTGTTTGAATATTATCTATACTATATTATAAAACATTTGACAAAAACTCTTAAAAAACTATTTTTTATGCACGAATTACTGTTTATTGATGTATATTACTTAAACTTCAAGATTACAAGTAAATTTTGCATAAGTACAACCTATTAAAGCTCTATGTTTGAATTCGTGTAACTAACTGCGGATAAACATAATCAAATAGAGAATAAATATATCATTTTAAAATATAAAAAATCTAAAATATAATTAGATAATTATTGAGTTCTAACAGAATACTTAATTATTATATTTATAAAAAAATATTATTAAACCTAAATTAAGTTAATTCGTTACGATAAATTAAATTATAATAAAAAAAACTGAACTAAAAAAATGCACAAATAAAAACTTTTAAATATTTATACTATATTATAAAGCATTTGACAAAAACTTTTAAAAACCATTTTTTATGCACGAAGTACTCTTTATTGATGCATATTACTTAAATTTCAAGATTACAAGTAAATTTTGCATAATAACAACCTCTTAAAACTCTATATTTTGTGTAAGTAACTGTGGATAAACATGATCAAATAGAGAATAAACATATCATTTTAAAATATAAAAAATCTAAAATATAATTAGGATAATTATTGAGTTCTAACAGAATCCTTAATTATTATATTTATAAAAAAATATTATTAAACCTAAATTAAGTTACTTCGTTACGATAAATTAAATTATAATAAAAATTTTGAACTAAAAAAAAATACACAAATAAAAACTTTTAAATAGTTAATTTGATACTAATATTGATATATTTTTTACAAATTTTATATAATATTTTTAAATTTATATTTTATTAAAAAATAAAGCATTATCGCTTTTTCAAAACCACATTAAATCGTATTATATCSACATAGATAAAAAATAAAACGAAACATTGAAATCGAAATCTGTCTCGATGTATTGCACGAGTACCCTTCTAGTATATATATAAGTACAATCTTATACATATAAAATAAAATAATACATTATATTTTTCTGATTATAAAAATAAAAGAAAAGGATAAAAGGATTCAAATATTCTCAAGTCAACGAAGTCATCGTCAATAAAAAAAAAGGGATTACGGTCATGCAAAAAATGAAAACCATAAGGACTAAATCCATAATTTTACAAGTTTAAAAACGTTAGATGAATAAACTCTTATCATTTGTTTTTTTTTAATCATGAACTAATACAGGGATTGTAGCGGAAAATCTAATTTGTTTTTTTAAATCATGAACTAATACAGGGATTGTAGCGGAAAATCTCATCTAGGCTTGGTTTGAATCCAAAAGCTGTCAAAGTCTTATAATCATGGAGGTTCACCTGCGATAACTACATGTCATTCGTGGTTGCAGAGTGATTCACATAAGCTGACCTGAAAACTCACGGTTACTCAAGGCTAAACATGTAAAACATCCTTAAGAGTCTGTCTGTTTGGTTTGCAAAATTATTCTTTTAGGGATTTCGATTGAATGGATTTGAAATGAAATTGTATTTCATTATTTATAAAAATAGATATAAAATAACAAAATTACATTTTCATCAATCGATTATTACAAAACAAATTATTTAACATTTTCTAACAACTTATTGCATGATATCTTATGAAATCCCGTGAAATTCTCAGCATCCCTTGGTATTTTTTAAATGTTTGATTATTTTGGAAGAACGATAATATAGAAATCTTCCGACTAAAATGGCATATTGGTCAATAGTTGAAGGGGGGATTTTGTAATTTAGTCATTTAATGATGAACTCCATGGAGCAATGAATTGTAGCTTTCAGTGTGAAGCACGTGAAGAAGGCCTGACCCTATAACCCCACACATAATGAATACGATCAGATTTTATGGGCCATTTGGAAATCCACAGGGACCATTTTTGTAATTTTTCATGGTTTCTTCTAAAATAAATATGATATTCTAGGATTTAATTTTGGGAAATTTATTAAAATAATCATTTTTATTATATTCTGGGTCATTTCTTTCTTAAAATTACAAAAATAACCATATGTTCGTAATGCAGGGGCCAAATATGTAAATTTTAAAAAACACATCCCTAATCGCGAATGTATTTTTACAGACCTATTAACTAATTCATATATTTACTTCATTTTTTTATACTTTGACATCTTCATAAATTGCGGACCTGTTAATTATGAACCTATGGCTATTTTTGTAATTTTAGAAGAGAAATGACTAAAAGATAAAACTCACCAGTCAAAATAGCTATTTTAATTAACCTCCCTATATTTTTTGTTTTTAAATTTACAAATTGTTAAGAAAAACTTCTAAAGAAAATTTATTTATGCCAAATAAAATGTTATTGTCGAGCAAAAAACTTTTTGGTATTTGGAAAATCAACATAAAAAATGGTGAAAACGACTGTACATTGGTGTGTTCTTGTTAAACTCTAAGATGTATCATGATAATTTTGTCGGTTGTCACACCCCATCTGTTATAAGTTGTGACGTCTTACAAACCAAACTAATGATACTGAGTAATATAATAAGGGTGAATCATTAATCTACCCGTTTAATAATTTGTACAGAAATATATATTATGCGGTTACATTTGATGCAATTTAAGGACTCGCAATTTATTT